AAAAGGAGGGAGGAGGGAAGATAATTTGGAGGAGGTGGGATGAGGAGCTGGATGGCGGAGGACTCGCCAAGGATTCGCCATCTACCAGGATGGGGGTGGTGCGTCGCCACCAAGACAAAGGGCAGCACGGCAACCACTTTACAGTGTATGCACCGTCGGGCTGCCGACGACGACGCTGACGTGGGTCAGCACCCCAAGGGTGCTTCTTGGGGTCTGGTCGAAACGCTCTTGGGGACCTCGGGGTACAGTGCAGGGGTCTCTTGAGAGCCTCTTGGGGACCTGTTGGGGCTTCCCGGGGGCCTTTCGGGAGCATCTTGGGGTCTCTTCGGGGCTTCTTGGGCCCCTTCTGGAGGCCTCTTGGTTTCTCCTAGGAGCACTCGGGGCGGAGGCCTCGAGCTGTCTGTTTGGGTCTGTCGTCTCGGCACCGCCCTGGAGCCGTCTTGGGGGCTTCTGGGGCCCTGTTGGAGGCGTCCTGGGCCGTCTTGGGACTCTCTTGGGCCGTTTCGGGTCGCTCGTGGAGCCCTCTGGGAGGCCGCTTGGGCCTTTCTTGGAGCGTCGGGAAGCGGACGACGCGAGAACGCCGAAATCATTGAAAAACTGTTGCAACATCTACGACTTTTGTTCTGGAGGCACTTTGAGCGTCTTGCAGGATTCTTGGGCCGTCTGGAGGCCGTCCAGGCGTCTGAGACAGATCGTTCGGCGATTCGGGGCCCTCGTGGACTGTCGATGGGAGCTTTTGGGGCACTCTTGGCCCGTCTTGACGTTTTTTTTTGCGGCCCGGGGGCCCCCGGAGGGGAAGCGGATCAGACCCGGGACCCGGCCCGGGTTCGGACCCGGGGCCCCCCCAGGTCCGGATGCGGGCCCGGACAAGGGGTCCTGGCCAGTGGCGTGCGTGAGGATAATTCGTTTCTTTGGATTTCTGTCTTATTTTGGTGCTCTAGGGGCGGTGCCGTATGGCCAGTTTGGTGGGATGTTTGGGTCTTGCTGTGGGGCGCAATGACAAGGGCCCTTTGGCCTCCGCCTTCTCCTCCTCCTCCTCTTCCTCTTCCTTTCCTCCTCCTCCTCCTCCTCCTCCTCTTCCTCCTTCCTCTTCCTCCTCCTCGTCCTCCTCCTCCTTCTCCCTCCTCCTCCTCTTCCTCCTCCTCTTCCTCGTCCTCCTCCTTCTCCTCTCCTTTTCCGCCTCCTCCCTTCTTCTTCTTCTTCTTCTCTCCTCCTCCTCCTCCTCCTCCTCCTCCCCTCGTCCTCCTCCCCCTCCTCCTCCACCTCCTCCTCCTCCTTCTCCTCCTCCTCCTCCTGCTCCTCCTTCTCCTTCTCCGCCTCCTCTTCCTCTCCTCTCGTCCTTCTCCTCCTCGTCCTCCTCCTCCGCCTCCCTCTCCTCCTCCCCCCCCCTCCTCCTCCTCCTCCTCCTCCTCCTCCTCCCTCCTCCTCCTCCCCTCCCCCCCTCCCGCCTCCTCCTCCTCCTCCCTCCTCCTCGTCCTCCTCCTCCTCCTCCTCCTCCTCCTCCTCCTCTGGGTGCTCAACGATGGCTTAGTTTGTGGGTATGGTCGGTTCTACGATGGACCAGTTTGTTGAGATTCAGTTATGCTTATCGCGTGAGTACCTTCTGGGTTGTGCCTTCGGTCTGGTGCCTATGGTGTCCCAGTTTGTTCTGATTTCTGGTTCTTGCCCTCGGGGTGGTGTACTAAACGAGGACCGTCTTTTGTTTTTGTCCCCCCTTTTTTCTCGGCGGTGAATAGAACTCGTCCTCAAACTGGCCCCCTCTTCCTCTGCTCCTCCTTCTCCTTCTGCTCCCTAGCAGCAGTAGTCGTCGTAGTCACAATCGTAGTCGTAGCTGTTGTCGTCGTTGCTGTGCGGCTGGTGCCTCGGAGCACAAACATTGGTTACCCCCTGTTGGTGGGACCCCAGTCCTTCAATGAGGCCGCCGAGAAAATGAGTAGTCACCCCCTGTTGTGTGGGGGGGGGCGATCTAACAACCTTTCAGGACTACACCTTAGGCGATGCTTAAGAAAACCTAAGTTTTCGGCCAGAGCCTCGATTATTCTTAATGTTTCAATGTAAATCCTAAGATTTGAATGGGCATTCTGGGTTTTTACTTAAATTCTGAGACTATCAATTTCTTAACCCATGATTTCTAAAGCATTTCGCAGGGTGTATGCGATTTGCTCTGCGATGGACACACGGGATATGTTACATTCAAGTCTTTGCTGTAGCCGTCGTCGCTGTCGTTGTCGTCGTCGTTCGTCGCCGCCGTTGTCGTGGTGGCTGGCGAGTCGGACGGTCGGGCGGGCGCGCGGGACACGTCGTCGTCATTTTCGGTGTCGCGGGCGGGTCGGTCGGTCGGGCGAGCGGGGCGCGCCGTCGTCGTCGTCGTCGTCGTCGTCGTCGTCGTCGTCGTCGTCGTCGTCGTCGTCGTCGTCGTCGTCGTCGTCGTCGTCGTTGGCTGGCGCAGGGCAGGCTTCCCCCCGGACTTGCGGGGGCCTCCCCCCCGACTTTCGGATTCGCGGCGGGTGGTCAGGGGGGGCGCTATCGCCAGGAAGGGGTGGAAGTGCCCCCGTTCTGGAGAGGAGGCGGAGGGGGGGGGGGGGAGTTCGGATACGAGGGTCTCGGTTGCAGGGGGTCGGGGGAGTGGGATCCGCAACCCGCGGAGCGCACGACAGAAGACGCCCGCTCTCGGAATCTCGGCCTCTGTTCGGGGGGCTCTTCGGGGCTGCTGGCCGACTCTCGAGGCAGGGCTCGGCCGTCTCGGCGGCCTCGGTGGCCCCTCCGGGCCGCCTTGGGGCGCCGCGGGGAGCTCCGGGGAGGCCCCGGGAGGCGTCGGGCCGCCTAGGGGGCCTCGGGAAACGGGGTGGCGGGGCACGCGCGGGGGCGTGAGGAGAGGGGCGGGCTTTGGAGGAGGAGGAGGAGGAGGAGGAGGAGGGAGGAGGAGGAGGGAGGATCAGGAGGAGGCGGAGACATAAGAGGAGAGGAGAGGAGGAGGAGGAGGAGGAGGAGGAGGAGGCGGAGGAGGAGGAGGAGGAGGAGGAGGAGGAGGAGGAGGCATACGATCGAGGTCGGTTCGGGGAGGTTGCCCTCGTGTTTTTCGTGTTTGTTGGATGCTCTTGCGCAGGCTGGGGAGGGTACCCTTGGATGCTCTGTTCATCCTGGCCGACGGAGGGTCTTGTCTTCTTGACGGATGCTCTCCTGGCCTAGGTCCGACAGTACAGAAAGCCCACCATGCGGCACTCGGCAGTCTGCCATGCCCGAACGTGCCAGGGCCACGATGGCCGATCGTCAAGGGATTCTGCCAGTGACGGGCGAATGGCAGCGCTCGAGGAAAGTAAAGCTGCATAACCCTGAACTTTCGACGGTCCGCGCGGATTTCTCGGATCGGCGCTGGGAGCCCCGTGGCGGCGCCTCCGGCGAGGCCCCCGGCGCGCTCCGCGCACCGGGGAAGGGGGACACAGCACAGATCCAAGACATTTGCGCGGACCTCCAAGAGTTTATGTTGTTTATGTTTATCAGGAGGGGAAAAAACACACAGACACAATTAATCCTCGATCCCCCAGAAAATATAGGAAAATATGGGAAGTGGGTGGGAAGACAGAAACCCAGAAAATATAGGAAAATATGGGGAATCTTTTTATTTGTGTGTATTTATTTGTGTGTCCCAATTCCCCCTCAGTTTATGCCGTTGTTTGTTCCTCTCATCGTGATTTACCGCGTGGGCCACATTGCACTGCAAGGATTATATCTCTGACTCGGCGGCGAGCCCGTGTGGGAAGCGAGAGTGGGCGGGCCCTCTCAGAAGGCTCGGGAGCTCCCTGGCCTTCCGAGAAGTTTGTGGGCCTTTCCCGAGGACAGAGCTTCTCGGGAGGCGCGAATGCTTCTGAGAAGCCCCGCCGATTTCTGGGATGGCCTTCTCCCTCTCATCGGCGTCACCCCAACACACTTCTACTATGTGTGCGTCGCCCCTCCAGGGGCGACGCGCGCACCGAGAACTCTCACCGTGCATGCGTCGTGGCGGGCGCTTTCTGGCCACGCCGCTCGGGAAACGATATACAGTCGGGGCCCTGAAGAAGGAACCCTTTTCGTGGGGGAGGGGCTCCGCGTTCCTGAAGTGTTTCGCAGCTTGCCTCAGGTGTTCCTCATGTTTACGATCGGAAACCGAAGTTTCACTTATGGGAACAAGGGGCCGCGCTCCTAATTTTGGGTTCCTTCTGTCAAGGCCCCGACTGTACTACAGGATGGGTGTACTATCTCTTCGGGTCGGAGGCGCGCCTCCAAGCAGGACGCATGGTATCAGTACGTCCCTGTGCGTCCCATTCTCCCTCTCACTCACCACCCACCAAACCACCCCAACCCAACCCGAAGGCTCAGATTTACCCTCGATTTCCAGTGGGGGGGGGTCGGGAAACATCGAGACAACACATATGGAACCCGTACCCCCCCCAACCCGAAATTCGGGTCGTCGGGTTGGGTTGGGGTGGTCTGGTAGGTAGTCACTCACTTCCCTCCCGCGCTTCTGAGAAGCCTCGACGCCTTCCGATCGGCGGCGACGACAGGGGCGGATCGCCCCTCGGGCGGGCGTCACGCGCGGTCCGCCGGGGAGCCCCGCCCGAGGCCTGCGCCACGGGCGGCCCTGGACACGTGCACCGCTCGCCCCTGGGGCTATTTCGCCCCAAACGTCGCCCCCGATCCCGAGAAGCCCCTGCCCGAGGAGGAGGAGGAGGAGGAGGAGGAGGAGGAGGAGGAGGAGGAGGAGGAGGAGGAGGAGGAGGAGAATGGAGGAGGAGGAGGGAGGAAGGGAGGAGGAGGAGGAGGAGAGGAGGGAGGAGGAGATGGAGGAGGAGGAGGAGGAGGGAGGAGGAGGATAGGAGGAGGAGATGTAGGCGATTTGGGAGGAGGAGGAGAGGAGGAGGGGAGGAGGAGGAGGAGGCGAGGGCCCCCCCCATCGCTCCCCGCCGGCTGCTCCCAGGAGGTTCGGCACCGCACGCGTCCCGCCCCGCCCCCGCCGCTCCCAGGGCGGCCTCGCAGCAGGCGGCAGGGCGTCGGCGAACCTGCAGGCTCTGGGCTTTTGGTGGTGCTGGGAGGGCAGGGAGCCTCCTCCCTCCTCCTCTCCCTCCTTCCTCCATCCTCCTCCCTCCTCCCTCCCCTCCTCCCCCTCCTCTCCCTTCCCTCCCTCCTCCTCCCTCCCTCCCTCCCTTCCTTCCCTCCCTCCTCTCCCCTCCCTGCCCCCCCCTCCTCCTCCTCCCTCCTCCCCCCTCCTCCCCTCTCCCCCCTCCCTCCCTCTCCTCCTCCCTCCTCCCTCCTCCTCCTCCTCCTCCTCCCCTCCTCCTCCTCTCCTCCCTACCTCCTCCCCCTCCTCCTCCTCCTCCGTCCGCCCGCCCTTCTCCCTACTACCGCATGTGTACGGATTTGCTTCGCGACGGGTCCCTCCCTTCCTCCCTCCCTCCCTCCCTCCCTCCTCCTTCTCCCTCCTCCCTCCTCCTACCTCCTCCTCCTCCTCCTCCTCCTCCTCCTCCTCATCCTCATCCTCCTCCTCCTCCTCCTCCCCTCCTCCTCCCTCCTCCTCCATCCTCATCCTCCTTCATCATCCTCATTCCCTGGTCTTCCCTCCTCCTCCTCCTCCTCCTCCTCCTCCTCCTCCTCCTCCTCCTCAGGAACGCCTGAGTGCGCAGTCAACCCGCACAGTGAGGATGAGCGACTTTCCAGGCGTACCCTTGAATCCTGGCCCTTCGGCCCATCCTTATCGACTTTCGCTGGCAACCCTCGTTCGAAAGACCTTACCATCGCCCTTCGAGGCCCTTGCATCCTTACCGCGCACCCTTATTTTTTAGGGGTTGACGGTAGCTCAGCGCGCTCCAGCATCGGAGCCGGCACAGGGTCTGACACGGCTCAGCACTGGTTCCGGCCAGCAGGCACGGGCAGGCCCCCCGGTTGGCGTGTCTCCCCCCTGCCATCCACGCCCGGATGGCTGATGTTGGGAAGCGTTTTGAACCCGAAGCGGTTCTTGAGGGCCCGGCCGCGGCCGCGCGTTTCCGCTTCGTCGCCGCGCTCGAGGCCCCAACAGTGTGCTCGTGCTTCGCCATTCAAGTACCTTTTATTCCCTACCCAGGCTCTGCCTAGAAGGGTTCTTACTCTCTTAGCTTAAAGGGGCCGGGCAGTGCTACACGCCCCGAGCGGTTCCCCCCAGTCCCCTGGGAGCTTTAGCTTTAGCTTTAGCTTTAGCTTTAGCTTAGCTTTAGCTTAGCTTTAGCTTAGCTCTAGCTTAGCTGTAGCTTAGCTTTAGCTTAGCGTTTCGCTTAGCGTTTCGCTTAGCTTTTCGCTTAACGTTTAGATTAACTTTAGCTTAGCTTTAGCTTAGCTTTAGCTTAGCTTGAGCTTAGCTGTAGCTTAGCTTTAGCTTAGCTTTAGCTTAGCTTGAGCTTAGCTGTAGCTTAGCTTTAGCTTAGCTGTAGCTTAGCTTCAGCTTAGCTTTAGCTTAGCTTCAGCTTAGCTTTAGCTTAGCGTTACTGTTACTACTAATGCTGCTTTCCTAGGGGTTCCAACTCCTAGGTAGGTCGCACTGGGATAATCATATCCCGTGGAAGGTTGCGTTCACCATCTCCTGGACGGAGGAAGGATCGTCATCAGAGGAGTAAATTTCAGCCCTCGGCGCCAACGAAAGCGAGGCAATCCCCTATGATTCAGAGTACATGCCTGCGTTGACCAGAAGCGTAGCGTGTGCCCTCTTAGCCCTCAGGCTAACTTGCGCAAGCAGTCGACCGAGGCAGCCGAGGTGGAGGTGCGCAACTCTCTTCTTGAGTACCCGGGGGAATCCTGCCATCTCGCCAGTGACCGTCACTGCATTACGGGCTCTTGGAGTACAGCAGGGTTTGTCCCATGAGCTGTAGTGTCAGCCTCGTTATAAAAGCGAGGTGTTGCAATGTAAGACGTGCCTCAGATTCCGATTCGAAAATGTGCATGGATGTCATATATCCTCTGATGATGCACGTTGTAAGAGCCACAATGTATGTGTGAACCGTCGCGCGCCTGCTGATTGTTTTGTCCAGTCATCAGCATCCCACCCTCTCTGTGCGTTTTTTGTTGTTGTTTTTTCGAATCTCAGTAGTTTTTGGTTGGTGTGTCTTTGACGTCTGTCCAAAGGCATTCTTGACCGGCTTGAGCCTGGAGAGATACGTTGGCCTCTTCATGGACGATCTCTGCTCCTTGATTTGACCTAGAAAGTGGTGGTCAGTGTTACAGTCCGCGAGTGCATACATGTTTTTGTGTATCCCTCTTGCCGTGACTGTTTCTCGATGGCAGCTGTGAACGATTGTGGTGGTTGACAGGTCTAGGGGCGTCGTTGTCCTTATTTAATCGCTTCGCTCATTCCGCTGGCCCATATTGTCGCACCGTTGTGGGCTAGCCGAGTTTTGGGGGCCGTTTTTGGGCCTCTTGGGGCCTCTTTTGGGCCTCTTGGGCGCCTCTTGGGGCGTCTTGGGGGCCTCTTGGGGGCCTCTTGGGGCCTTTTTGGGGCCTCCTGGGCGCCTTCTGGGGCGGAGGGCTCGATTTTTCAGTTCTCGGTTCTCCTCTTGAGCCCCTCTTGGGCCCGTCTTGGGGCCTCTTGGTCCGTCTTGGGCCGTCTTGGGAGCCTCGCGGGCCGTCTTGGAGCGGTCTTGAGGGCCTCTTGGGCCGTCTTGGAGCGTCCGGAAGCCGAAAAAGCCAGAACGCAAAAAACATAAAAAAACAATGAAAATCAACGATTTTGGCCTCTTGGGGCCCTTTTCGGAGGCCTCTTGGAAGGCCCTTGGGGCGTCTTGGAGGCCTCTTGGGCTGTCTTGGGGCCCTGTTGGGCGTCTTCGGGCGATCTTTGGCCGTCTCGGGGCCCTCTTGGACCGTCTTGGAGGCTTCTTGGGGACCTCTTGGCCCGTCCTGGGGCCCTGTAACAGGGCTCCGGCATCTCTGGCCCGACCTTGCCGGGGACTTGCCGGGACCTTGCCGGGGACCTTGCCGGGGTACTTTTCGTTTGGGGACCCCCAGGGGCCGCCCCGCGCGCGCGAACTAGAAATACTGTTAACCAGGTACCGGAGATCTTAGCACGCCCTGGCCCGTTGGGCCGGCGAATTCAGGTCTAGGGGCGTCGTTGTCCTTATTAGTGGACGTTGGCGAGGGGCGGGGGCTGGGGGAGTCGTTTTATGCTGGGTTGCCTGTAGGGCTAGGCAAGCGTCGGTTCTCGTCGCCCGCAAGTCTGCAGGTGCCGTCCAGCAAGAGTGCGCACGCATGACACCAACCACTCGCGCGCGCGTGCGGACAGGCGCCAGAGCAGCAGTGCAAAGGCACAATCATACATGCAAGCACGGCCACCGTGCGGTCCACCCTGCAATCATGCAGTCACGCGCATAAGCGCGGATGCGCACAAGAACGCCAGCATGCGCGCACTACCGAACTTGCGAATCTAAGCAGGTCATTCCAATCATGCATAAACTGTCATGGACGGGCTTTTCATGGACGCCAGCAGGCAACCATATTGCAACCTTGTGGGAATCAAGCGTGAGACAGATGATAGTGCTTGCGCACGCGCTCCTGCAACGCCACAATAATTCTTGACCCTTCGCGTATCCCAACCAGTCCGCACCGTCTCGGCCGCCAGCGGGCCTACCCACTTCAGGTGCCGGACTCGGTGCGCCTTGGGCTGCCGCTGGCCCCCCCCGGCTGAGTGGAGGATTCTGAGGACAGAGCGCTGAGTGGTTCAGCCTTCCGCGCTCGCGCAGCCTCGTGTCTTCCTCCGCGCTCTGCCCGGTTACACAGTACAGCCGTTCGGCGTGGGCAGATGGCCTGGAGTCTGGCGCCGAACCGGCGACTCACCCCGCTGTCTTCGCACACTCTGCAGCTCGTTTACTTCGGTTCACGCTGCTGCGCCTATGTGCGTTTGCTTATCAATTTAGGTCATTTTGTTCTGTGCATGTGCAGCTGCGAGCTTGCTTTGCAGATGCGAAATGGCTTGCCAACATTGGCGGCAGTGTTCGCAAATTCGCACCGTGCCGCATCCCGGACGCCGCTTCCGCTCCCTGACCGTTGCCTTGGAACCGCCGACGAAAAAAATATCCCAACCAGATGCAGGGTCAGCACTCCCTTCGGGAGTCTCGGTGTGCGACTTTGGTGGCGCCACCCTACGCACCAGTTTTTGGCCAGCATGGTCTCCTGGGAGCTTGCAGTGTACTGGTGGTGGTCTTGGCCACATCCTGGTACCACCCTCGCGCCATTTTGGCTGCGCTCCAACCCTGGCTGGCTAATCGTGCATGTGCGCGCTCCTGGGCCTGCTACCTGGCAGCTGCAGCCCGCACCCCCCCTCTCGCCGGCCCGCCCGCTCAGGTGCTGCTTAGGTCGTCGGCCCGTCGGCGTTAGGCAATTCGGCTCTTGCGCGGCCCGCCTGGACCTTACTCGCCGCCGTCGCTCTCGCCCGCGGCTGCGACGCAAAAGTCTCCCAACCAGCCCATCCAGAAACGATGCCCAGGCTATGTGTTTTGACCACGGTTCCACTACGACCCCCTTGGGGCCGTCTTGTAGCTTCGGGGCCTCATATTGGAATAATATGTTGAGATGGTGAGACGCAGTATTCCAGACATCCTTGGAGCCAATGGGGCTGTCTTTCTGCCGAGCCCTGTTGGACGCCTCGGAGCGGGGTTGCGGGTTGGGTGGTGGGTGGGTGGTGGGTGGGTGGGTGGATGGGTGGGTGGGGTGTGGGGGTGGGTGTGGGGCAGGGGGGCGGGAAGAAGAGGAACAGCAGGATAAGGATGAGGAAGAGGATCGTAACGAGGAGGATGAGGAGGAGGAAACTGCGGAGGAGGATGTAAGAGAAGGGTGTGGAGACGGGTGTGGACGTCGATGGCGACGACAACGACGACCACGCAAAATGTGACGACCACGACGACCGCGACCACAACGACGCGACGATTAATTACAGGAGTCGATCATAAACGCATTCGCAGATCTTCTGCCCAGGGAGCCACAGGAGGGCCTTCTGGAGCCATCTTGGAACCCTCTTTGGACCATGTTTTGGCCCGGGGCTTTGGGCCGTTTTGGAACCCTCTTGGCCGAGTGGGGAGTTCTCTTGAGGCCATGTTGGAGGACACTGATCAAGCAAAGAGAGGTCTCACTTCGCCTTGCCCCCCCTGGAGCCCGACAAGTCGCCTCTTGGCCCCCCTCCCTCCTAAGTGCATCTTGAGGCCCCAGAAGGCAATGGGGAGCTGAAGGACGAGAATGCTCACTACAGCTGTTTGCTCGGGTGTTGGACGGTTTGGGACTTTTCGGGTGTCCCTAGGATGCTCCGTAGCCGGTTGAGGCCCTGTTTCAGAAGTCTTTGGGCCTCTTGGAGCATAGCAGAAGCCACCTTACGCGATCTTGTGCCACTGGGTCCCGCCTTGGATGCCAATCTTGGGATTTCTGGGACCATGCTGGAGCCAACTTAGACCACCTTGGACGCTCTGACCGATCGTGAACCCCCCCACCCAGACCCAGGGGGGAGGGGGTGCGTTGGGGGCGGGGTCAGGCTACCCACAAGCCGCACGACGTCTCGCTCACTCCTACCTGCACTCGCAACACACAAGTAGCACCCGAGTCTCAGCATGGGCAGGGGCTGCCATCGACAACCGTCGGGAACCCGTGCAGACGCCAGCCATGTGCGCGACGCCCGCGAGGTGCACCGCGCGTGCCAGGGCTCCCCTCAATCATCCCTGTCAGTTGACGACGCAGCATGATCGCAGAGCGCCCAGGCACGGTTCAATATTTTGCCGCAGCGTGCAGTTGCTTTCGAAAAGGGATGGTAGGGTCGCGCTCGCCAGGCAATACGCGTGCCGCCCAACTATCCCCGGCAACACGCCATGTACAGTGATTGTGGGGCGTCCGAACATGATCCAGAGTTCCCTGCAACGTTCATGTTGTATTGTTTTTGACTGGGGTGGCGGGGTGGCCGCATTGGCCCTGGCTAGGGGCCGGTAGATATGTGGGAAAGAGCGTGTTCTACCGCTGCTGGCGGAAAACCGGGGGGGGTCACGGGGGTTCCCAACCCGTTGCCCCCCCCCCCTCGAAAACCGGGGGGGGTCACTACCGGTTCGAACACCTCCCCACCCCCCCACCCCAAGTCCATGGTGAAAAGGGGGGGGGTCATTACCTGTTCGAGCCCCCCCTCCCCCCCTCGAAAACCACGGGGGGTCACTACCGATTCGAACCCCCCCCCCTTCGCCGCCGGCAAACGACGATCCCCGCTCTTCGGGACAGATGGGCAATGGTGGGGATACTGGGGCAGTGGTGGGTACGGTGGTGGTCGGGACAGTGGTGTGGGGACAGTGGGACTGGTGCGGACAGTGGTGCGGACAGTGGTGGGGACGGTGGTGGTGGGGACAGTGGTGAGGGGACAGTGGGACAGTGGTGGGGACAGTGGGACACTGGTGGGGACGGTAGTGGTGGGGACAGTGGTGAAGGCGGTGGTGAGGACGGTGGTGGGATAGTAGTACACTGGGGAGAGTGGTGGGGACAGTGGGGACAGTGGGACAGTGGTGCGGACAGTGGGGACAGTGGGACAGCACAGTGGGACAGCGGCGGGGACAGTGGGACAGTGGTGGGTACAGTGGGGACAGTGGGAGAGTGTTGGGGGCCGTGAGGAAAGTGGGGAGAGTGGGAGCGTGGTGGGACAATGGTGGGGAGAGTAGGGACAGTGAGACACTGGCGGGGGCACTTGTGGGGACAGCGGGGACAATGGTGGGAACATTGGGGACAGTGGGACAGTGGTGGGGACTGTGAGACAGTGGTGTGGGGAGTGGGAATGTGGTGGGGACAGTGGGACAGTGGTGGGGACTGGTGGTGGGGACAGTGGTGAGGGTGGTGGCGAGGACGGCGGTGGGACAATGGGACAGAGGTACAGTGGGGACAGTGGTGGGGACAGTGGGGACAATGGTGGGGACAATGGGTGGGAACAGTGGGACAGCTCAGTGGGACACGGCAGGGGGACAGAAGACAGTGGGGACAGTGGGGACATTGCGACAGTGGTGTGGATGTCTGGTGGGACAGTGGGGAGGGGGGGGTCGAACCGGTAGTGACCCCCCCAGGTTTTCTTGGGGGGGGGAGGGGTTCGAACTGGTAGTGACCCCCCCTCGGTTTTCAGAGGGGGGGGTTCGAACCGGTAGTGACCCCCTTCGGTTTTCTGGAGGGGAGGG